GTGTTACTTGACTTTTCTTGGTCACTAGAAGTCAAGTTTTTGAGTGAAGAGGTTTGTAAACAAAAGGGAAAGGGTAGGGGTGACTCTTGAAGTCATAGTTCAAGTTGTTTTAATAAAAGTATTAGGACTTTATTAGCAAAGAAGTATAAAAACTTCTTGTAAACATCTTTTTTGTGTATAGTCTGAGAATCAGCGGAAAGAGTTTATTAAATCCTTTTTAATTAAGTAAATTCTTTATAAGAGGTGATTGCTAAATAAATTAAGAATCTTTTGAAAAACCTTTTTTTTACTTTCTAGTTACTTCAACAATTTATTATTTTTTGAAATAATTAATAACAACAAACTGCTGACAATGATTCTAATAGTTAAAGGTCAAGTATCAAACTATTAGAAAGTATAATACTGGTTTTTAAATTTTATCTAGTTAATACTTAATTTTGTTTGGTTTGAATTAGCTTAATAGACTCCTCATAATTTTAATTTAATTTTTCAGTATAATATTGCAAAATGGTTATTTAAATATCTCAATAAAAGACATGCTATGATGGCATGATTGCGGGTTAAAAAAATTGTTTGTTTTAATATTAAGCATTAATAAAAATAATCATATAATCGACTTGCAAAATTCTGTTATTGCTTATACTTACTTTGCAATGGGATAAAAATGTAAATTCATTTTTAATTAACAAATTGATATTCAAAGTTTTATGAAAATGTATTTACAATATATACTGTATATATTGTAGTAATATATATTGTATACGCTGAATAATAAAATTTTCAAGTCAAAGTGACACGTTAAATTTATAATATATATAATATACATACAGAATTTTACAAAAAAATTTTTTGGATCAAGCAAAACGTCAGAAAGAGTGTACCAGCTATTTCCGGTAAATTATGCCCTATGATAATTACCAATTAGGTCGACAATGTATTCATATGCATTATTCAGGGCAATTAAGTAGAAGTTGAGAGATAAACGGTGTTGGTAGTGCGTTCTTTTTGGAACATTTAAAATATTGATTTCATCATATAAATATGAAAACAAGAACTTCATTAGATCATTCTTATATGACGTCTAAGCTACGTTCATTTCATTCGCGTCAGCAGGTTCGACGATTTGGTGTTTTGGTGTCGATTGGTATTTTTTCGACGAATATGATGAGGTCGATGATGATGGTAATGACATTACCGGAATTTTTGGGAAATTACTACGACCAATCAATGACCCCTTTATGCTCCTGATTTCATTTTTTACTTGTTCTACGGTTGAGTCACCACTATACTCATTGTCAATTGACCAATTTGAAAACGCGTTTGTTGAAAGATAAGTTGTCAATGATGTCAGCGAACGTTGTAAGTCTTCCATTGCTTCATTTTTTAATATATTTTGGCGATGTATATATATTCGTTCACTTAAATTTGCTAAATCTGTTGATAGTGGCGCTAATAAAGACGGTGGCGCGGTTGCTTCGTCTTCCAAAGGCATTAGTTCGTTTTCTTCATCGTCTACCTCAATTATCTTGTTATTGCTCGAAAATTTATCAGACCCCTTCTCTAATAATGTCACGAACGATGATAGCTTTTCGTTGAATTTTCTAAGAAGAGAAAGTTGGTGAGAATAAAGTTGCTGCTTTGCAGCGATGACTGCTGTAACCATTGGGCCAAGTAATTTCTAAAAAATAAAATAAAATTAAATAATCAAACAATTATTGACGGATCAAAATCGATGGTCATTAAATCGAGAGTCGTGAGATTACCTTGATCGCAGCAATCATAAGAGCACTGAAAGCACCAGTTAAAATTAATACATAAATAAGTTTCTTCCACATTGGTGCTCTCGCTGCGACTATCGGAGGGGCGTGCACTACGGTGGGATAGGTTCGTGGTGGAACTATGGGTGGAATGTGCTTTTTAACATGCCAAAAAGTTGACAATGTTTAAATTAGTACTGCTTTATAATTTAGAGTACAATAATGCAACACGTTAGTTACCATTGTTCCCACGCGTTCCTTGGCAATATCTATTTCCTTTTTTGTCATCCCTTTATTTAGCAGAAATTGAACCTTCTTTTCTTCATCAACATTAGTAAGAGAAGGACTGGAAAGAAATTTGATCGCTTGTGATATTAAGTCCTCTCTGGGTTTGACAACCGTGGGTTCAGGTGTACTGATACTGCCACCAGAAGAATTGTTCGACGTCATTTCTGCGGTTCGTTGTCGCGCTTCCCTTTGTCTTTGAATTAACTCTTGCTTCTTTCTCTCCCTTTCTTCAGGAGTCAATTTTGGTTGCTGCAGTATAGCACGAACCTTATCTTCAGTTTCCTTCGCATTCTCCCCGACGGCTGGTGTCGCTTGCTGCTGCGGTATGGTATGAACCTTAGGTTCGGTTTCCTTTGTTACATTCTCTCCGATAGCTGGTATCGCTTGCATTTGTGGACTAGCTTCCTCAATTTTTATGGGTTGAGCGCCCACGCTATCGGAATCCCCCTGGACTTTTTCCAAAGAAACACTATTGGACTCTGAAATTTTATCGTTCATATTTTTAATGTGGGAAAAAGTCGGGTTGCTTTTTTAAACACTGAGATGTGCATATTTATTGTCTATATCACGTGAAAGTTTTCTTTCTAAACAAGGAATTATGAAATCTGTATTTCGATGTGTACGTCGTTAAATTTCGGCTCAATTTACCCCTTTACACGAGACGATGGATCCTCTCATTTTTACAGCACCCGCTCGTATTCGCATACTCCTCGCCCCCGTCCACCCCATTAAGGCCACAACTTTTCGTCAGAAAGTTGAATTAGTCAAGAAATTCGCCGTTGTTAAACTTGGAGATGTTACCCCTGATATGCGTGGTGTTCATTGTAAGTGTAATGCCAAATTTTTCTGGGAGGGCGAATTCTCTAAGTCAATCGGCCGATGAACCTATGGACTTAAGAGATGCGAATTTAACCCTTTGAGCCTTTTTCTGACGAATGTTGTGATTCAATTGTGCGATTTTCATTTTTTTCGGAACTCATTGTGAATTATTTTGCAATAAGTTTTGAGTCAATGAAAGAAGCATTCATTCGGGGAAAATTTACATTAATTAGTTGTCTGCTCAAAATAATTTTCACTTTCAATGGTCCATTGATAACGATGTGTCAAAAAAACACAACAAACAAATTATTGCAGCCATGTTCAGCTCACAGCTCTTTCATGAAGGTCTGTTGCTCTTTAACTTCGTGACTTCATATGAATCGGAGCACGCTTATCTCGAAGAGTTCCAAATGCATCGTAGGATATTTGGGGTACGTTGATTTCACTTATGATGGTTATAAACACATGGTGTAATGGTGTTCCATTTTTTCTTCATAAAGCTTTATTATAAATTAAAAAATTCTGTATCATGGTTTGCAGGTTATTGGAATTATGGACTGCGGCGAATGGACAAATTTGACAGATGGTTACAAAAAATTTACAGACATATTGAAGAATGTACGTGAAATAAACAGGTCGAATTCAATATTTTCATTATTCCCGTTTGACAATTTTCATTAATGCCGCACCGTTGTGGACAATGGACTTTTGTTGTTGCAAGTATCCAACAGCCGTTTCCAACCGTTGTTTCGCATTCGATCCATCAGAGAATCAACCTGATGACACCAAAGGTTTGATAATGATTCCAAATGTTGGGAACATAGAATTTTATATGAGCACCATGATTTCGGATTATGCAAATAATATTCTCACGGAGTTTGGAAACCTGGTTAGTTATCATCATCAAACTTGATTTCTCATGTTTCCACGAACAAACCGGGGGAATACTGACCATTATCGTTGGTGCAATTGATAGGCATCGAAAATTGAAAAGAAACCAATAATACAATCCCCAAAGATTCCGACATCAACTTCACCTGTTTTTAATGAAATTTTGCAAAATGGCACGCCGGTACTTCCTTCACTCACACCACCATCTCAAGCCATGACTACTGCGGGAATGGGGGGAACAACCGCTGGCGTTAATCCAAAAGATAACCCTTATCATTCGCGGCAGTTTTCCACGTCCACTATAGCGAATATCGCGACTCAAGCTGTCGGTGTACCTAGCACTGTGTCTGACATGAAGTTGAAAAAGAGGGCTCCAGGAAGAAGTCAGAAGTTGATTGCTGATTTGTATTTAATGGCCGGAAGGCTACCGGATGCCGTATCACAGTATGTAGAGAAGTTCGAGTTATTCTTTGTCACATTATAGAGAAGTTCGAGTTATTCCTTGTCACATTACAGAGGGTTGTTGAATGTCCTTTCTTTTTCCTTGCTGATAGTTACTCGGCGGCTATTGAGACAACAAAAGCGAATGGTGATTATTTGTGGCACGGCTCCGCTATAGAAGGATTATGTGTGGGATTGGTTCTTTCCGCATACTTGCACACCGACGTTGAGGTAGGAATCTGTATATAAGTGTAACGTGCCCCCTCTAAAATGCAGAGAATTTAATTTGGCTTGGAATCGTGATTTTCAAAAAATAGTCGCACCTTATTATTCAATCTCCTCCTTCCCCCGATTCAAGCGCTTCGCCTCCTCCCCCGACACCTGAGTCATTACCCAAATCCCTTTGGGCAGATATAACCTATAAATATGTTACCGTTCTCACACTTTATGCAAAAACCACTAATTCATCCAACAATCAAGTGCCTCCGTTAATTTATACCGAGGCATGTTTAAAAATTGCCAAAATGTTGGCTAGCATTTGGGTTTCTGGAGGATGGGGTGACGATGCACTGAAATTAATTGTCCATGGTGGGGTTCCAGAGAAAGGGACGCATGATAAATGGGGTTTGAGTTCTGTAAGCGGCGTGTCAAAAGTTGAAGTCACTCAGTGGGCAATGAAAGGCTATGGGCCATATGTTGAGCACTTGTCGATCACAGAACAGGTGTCATGAGAGTTCCAATTGAGAAATTGTGAAAACGAATCATAGCAAAAAATTTTTTTATTTAATTCTTTAATTTTTATCATCCAGATTCACATAACCACCACGCTTTCATCCATCTTCTCAATAATCAATTTTCGTAGGAAGCATGCATTTTTCCTACGGCAGACCGCGTTGTTGATAACACCGTTGCTGGCCAAACCTCGAGCCGGATCACAAATGCAGAATAGGCCATCACCCGTTAGTGATGGGGGTCTGTTGAAATGCTTGAAAAAGGTGACCGAAGTGTACGGCGTTGGAGACAACGTGGATACTGATGATTATTCGGTGGTAGTCGAAGACGCGAGGCCTCTTGCCTTCGGATGGCCGGATCTTCAGATGGATGTATTAAAGGATGCCATAACGGTGACCGAATCATTACCCGGTTAGTTTGTTGTTATTCCTGTAGTTTGCGTACATTCACGAATCGTTTCATTTGTATTCTAAATATATTAGTATCTATTCCATTAGATTATCTTTCCATAGTTAAGTATACGACGAGGCTTTTGCGAAAGTTATTTATGTATTTGCCGAGGGATGAGCAACTCCGACTTTCGAGCTCTTTACCAAGGGTAGTTAATGCAGGTAAAAGGCAAGGATTGGATATGGAGTTCAAGTATTGGGGACTGAACATCGTACGAGGTATCCAAGTATGCCGGTATGTGTTTGCCTACGAATTCACCTTCTGAAATGTATGCGGAATTCAATAATTTTGGTTTGTGCTGAAAGTGTTTATTATAACCCGAAAGTCCCACCTCTCGAAGAATTCCTTATCCACATCCTAGTAAAAACTTGGAAAGTGACGTTGAGAAACCGGTCGATCCATTTCTTTATAAAAGTTTCGAAGTGGCTAAAGTTGAAACTGTTCAGGTGCTTTAATTGAAGATTCCCGTTTTTTTAAAAAATTGGATTCACCTTATGCAGGCTATGCTAATAAATGACCAATCGAATTTAAGACACACTTGGTTGCCAATGAACCAGCATATTTTCTGGTTACCTTGGCAAATCCGTTTGCGTTCGATTTAGATATCCAAAGCATTTCCGTTAGGTCTGCCACTTATACACTATCATATCGTATCTGGGTTATGGGATTATACTGATGTCTTTATCCTTTTCATAGCACAGAGGGGGTTGGGTTCACTCCAAATCCCATGTCAACCGTTATAAACGCCAATACGACGGTAACTTTGCGTGTATCTGGCACGCCAACGGATCCAGGCGAATTGATTGTTAGAGGTTGCAAGTTAAAAGTTCATGGGTGCTTGGAACAAGAATTTTGCGTATATCTACCTCCGACTGAGGAAGAAATAAAAAATAAAGAGAAAGAAGAAGAATATGACAAAAGGATCAAGAAATGGTAGAGCATGTTGTATATATTCTTGTCTTACGGGAAGACTGTGTTTTATTTACGTCAATTTTTATAAAACTCAGCGGACTGGCTGTTATAAACCGGTCGAAAGATCAAGGTAATTTAACTAAAAATCGATTTACTTAACATGGGTTCTGACCAACTAACTCCCGTGTTGGAATTCCATCAAGATTCGCAGTCGGATAGTCAAACAAAAGTTGAGCGGAAGGAATATGTTGCCGAATTTCTGAAAGTAACAGTGATTGTCGGACAACCACTGATGAAGATTAAATCGACTTCATTGATGCACGGAGCTGCTATGCTGTTCGAAGGGGAAAGGTGATATTCGCTTCCCCGTTGATTTGGCGTATATATATATATATATATACATGTATATATAGATGTTTATAACGTGTATATTGAAATCGGATTTAAATCAACAGAACAGAGATGACGGTGAAGCTAGAAAACGTCGGAAAAACTCCTATCGATTATATAAGTTTATCGTTTCAGGATTCAACTATAGCTGCTGCTCAAGCTTTACTGAAATCATCAGATATTCCAGCGGAGGAAGCTTACGAGATGGAGTTGTATGCACATAAACAACCTGTCTTTTCGTGGGAACAGTCGGAGAAACCAGTTAATATATTGCCAGCTGAGGAATACATCCTTAGTATTGGTCTGTATGGAAAACGTGGATGGTGAGTGGGCTTCTTTATTTTGATGATTAATAAGAAATTCGCGAATTCGAATAATAACAATAATACTTTAAAAGTGTCAGTGGCACTATACAAATCGATTACGGGTACCTGAACCGCCCAGATCATAGTGACAAGGATGTCTTCTACACCAGACAAGTCTTTTATCCTGTTCTTCTAACTGTTCACCAGAATCTCGAACCTGTTTCCATGGATATATTAAATTTCACGCCTTTGAACATCCCTGATAACCCTACTCATGTTAATGGGATTAATGGTACACTCGGCAATTCTTATCACAACGAATTAGTCGAAGATTTGATTAAACTTGTTAGGTGGAATAAGGGAACGAATGAAGATTCTACGAGTAAAATGGAAAATGATTATTGTTTATTAACTTTCGATATAAGAAATGTTTGGCACATTGCATTTGATGTAACCATTGAATCTAATGAAGGTATGGTGCCTTTTGATTTCAGTGTTTGACTACCACTTTCCTTGCTGAAGAAATTTTCTTTTTATTTATTGTTGCATTTACCAGGAGAAGATTTTGATCCATTAAGTATTACTGCTACCATTCAGCCAGCTGCCACGGCACGGTGAGAATGATGCCAATATCTTGGTAATTGGGTTTGCATTGCGACACTCACGCGCATTCTGTTTTCTTTAGAATTATACTGCCCATTAGACGAATCTTTCTTAGCGAAGCCGAGTGCACAAAACCCATTCCTTCTTCCAAGCAGTTTGTTGTCTCAAAAGAGCCAAAGGGAACTGTTGAGCAGGAACACACGCAACTAGCTCTGTTCTGGTACAGGGAGAATCTGTTAAAAAAAATAAAGGCACATTGGGAATGCGTATCCTTACTAAATGCCGGCATATGCTTACGAGATTTTTTTGTGCATGTTATTTCTTGACGCAATATTTTGTCCTAATTTAATTAGCCATTAACTAATCAAAAAGGAATAGTTGATATCCGATCATTAAGGCTTAACAAATCCATGCTTAATGTTTTGAAAGTTGATGAAATCTCTTTTGGAATTGAAATTGAAAAGGCGCCAAAGGTCACAAAGTTATCGTGCAATCGTTTTAAATGCCCGGTAGATCAAGTCGTAAAAGTGAAATTTATTATTCATAACAATAAAGGTTTGCATCATTTTGTCCTTCAATTGAACCAAAAAAAAAAAAAAAAAAAAAAAAAAAATAGAAGCCTTTTCTTTTCTTAATTTTTGAAAAATATTGACCCTGAGTTCATTTTCTGATTAGAAAAACATAGTAAATTATGTATAAGAATTCAGCCTGTGCAAAGTTTTAGTGATGGATTGATGGACTGGGATTTGTCTAGAAGGATGGTGTGGAATGGATTATTGCAAACTCCATTGCCAGAGGTATTTTATTATCACATGTATGAGCTAATTGTAACAATTGAAACTGATCATTAAATTTTTTGTAATGTAGGTTGAGGCAAAATCTTCAATAACTTATACATTACCCATCTGCTTTTTCTCGAGGGGCGAATTTAAATTTTTGTACCACTGTGAAGATGTTTTTACAAGAACAATGTATTTTGATACTCAGCCATTAATAATTGAGGTTCATGATAATTAGTATTTTTATTTATTTGGTGTCTACTAATGTATTTACTGTATATTAAAGGGGTTAAATATAAATAAATATAAAGGAGAATTTCTAGAATGTTATAAATTGGTTATGATTTGCAATAAATTTTAAAAAAGCTATTATCTTTGCTATCACGCAATTATTGGATTTTAAACTCACTCCGTGTACAGTTGCTAAATTACTGCATATCGATCATTCAATTCTTTAATTTTAATAAATTCCAAGCAAAATAACCATTGCATGCTACTATAATTCTTTAAATACACTGCGAAAAATATTGTTCATATTGTCGCCACCAAAATTTTCTTGTTCCGCTAAAATTCGTTATCAAGCATTTAAAGAATAACAGTTGATTGCACTGCCTACAGTTTTTTCTTTATTATCTTCGCCAGTCTTGTTTTGTTTTGTTCAGAGTATTCTTTAAATATCAACACAATTCCCAAATTGGATAACCACTGTATATCCTGGACTAATTCAGCAAGCAAATTTTTATTTACTTATTTAATCGTTTTTTGAAACACACTATACATCTTAATAGTAGTAAATGTCAATGGATACTAAGGAATTATGCATAATTCAAAGCCCGTAATATATGCAATTCTCCACATCCAAATCAGTCTAATATCTCAAAAAACAGTAGATTAATTTTTCTTCCTGGTGCCTTAGCAGTGATGAATCAACAATGCCTTACGGCGGTTACTGCCTGACGAGATGGAGTAAATTATTGAATGACTGATGATGAGGCAGCCGAAGGTTTCTCTTCAGCAGATTCCCCGTTCTTAAATCTTCTCCATGTCTCTTTTCTTTTGGCTTTTTCTTCAGACTTAAAGGAAAAATACTGTTTTTATAAAGCAAAATAGATTATGTGGTAAGCGAATTGTTCAACGATATCATCCGAAAATGTGAAAGTATGAACCTTTTCACGAAACAAATAGTGACCAGGTCTTTTCTGATGATCGTTTTGACCTTCGGTCTCCTCCCTATTTTGAAGAGCTAGTGAAAGGTGGTCGAGGCTTCTGATATTGACATTTGCACGTTCCCCTTTTAAATTCTCCTTGAACTTTTCCATTGTGACCAATCTTCGACTCCATTTGCCAAAATTTTGTTCACTGTTTGAAATCAGTTTCATGCATGGATGTTCAGGAATATCCGCGCTCGAATAGCTGAAATACCAAACCAGTACATGCAGCATGCACATATCAGCAAAAAAATTTTCAAAGCAGCAAAGAGGAATTTACGTTTATATGAATATATTGTCACACTTGTCTACAACAGTTGGCATCCAATACACCAGCCGACCGCCTATCACCAAGTATTGCGCCGAAAATTCCAACAGGTCTACCAGCATTTCCGACATTTCATATGGTTTCGTCGGGGGATAGTAATCTTCGCGTCTGGCAGTCGACGGAATTTTAGAAACGAGCGTGCACCCATCGCCTGCACGATTCATGCAAAACGAAGAGAACTTACTTATGCGCCGGTATACCATCGATCAATACTGGTGTTGGTTGCTTTTTTGACGGATCCTTCCTTCCAAGGGTCTTCGCACCTGCTCTAACACCGTAGGGCGCTTTTTCGCGTGGGAAAAGAGGGATGGGAATGTATTCAACGGGCAAAACAATCCATCAGTCATTAGATTATTATACTACTCACGATCGGTCACAATTGCGTCAAACAAAAGGTTCTCCCGCCATGGATGATGACATATGTCAAATACCAATGTGTCAAGGACTTTTCCGCTTAAATCGTATTGTTCGACATTAGATTTTAAGGATTTACTTGCTATGTAATTTCTCGCGAGTCAGGATGTGTATATGATTGGACATTAAAGAAATCAGAAATCTCCAGGTCCATTGGAAAAAAGATACTAAACCTTGACCACGAATCTGCCGGCCATCAATATCGGATCCCATGGTATACGCCCCATAATGCGCACAGGTAAATAGGAAACTGCCCGTTCCGACAAACGGATCATATATCAGCTTACCCGAAGTTGCCTTTACCGACGCGAATTTTTCAGAATAAAGTGGAAAAATATGAATCCCCAAAATAGCTATAGTAAGAACTAACCAAGGCTTGATTGGCCATAATCAGCGATAATTCGGCGTCCATCGAAGTATTTCCAATGTAACTTCTCCTTTTCAAGTTATACTTGTTAACAAGATCCCTACTTCCCGACGCAATCTATCGAAGAAATGTCATGCCAGTCAGAATCAATCAAACCTGTGAACGACCGGAATAAGAAAGAACCGCGCTTTACCAATCGACCGAAATAAATCGTGCGAGGACTCGACGGCGGAACAGGCAAGTATGGATCTAATCCATAATCTTCTAAAACTCCAAATTGTACTTGCGGATTTTTTAAATCAATATCACCTTTGAAACCGAGGTATGAGAAGGAGTTAATTGTGCGAACCTGATAGTCCGAAGAACAGGTGGATCCAAAGGCGGAAACTGTGAATTTAAAGGATTTATATTCATATTGCGACTAGATGAACAGGAAGCGAAATGAGTCGTGCTAATCTTGTAAATTAAACGATTTAAAATGCCTCGTGAAAATACTGCCACTACCCATCGTTCGGGTTTCTCTTTTACTTGTTCGTGCACCCTCTCATAACTTTCACCCATTCCCCACAATTCATATATGCTTCTGTTTCATCGATGGGACATGGAAATAGAAGCGAACGAAATTAACCCACTGGATTCGTTCACCAATTCGATTCGTGGTCACTCACTTTGACAAGATGGAACGTTTAATAAGCCGCTCCGCCTCTTCCTCGGTCTCGATGTTTACTATCAAAAAAGGACACTGCACGTGTGTGGATGTACAAGCAATCATCATTACTCATTTCACCGTGAACCTTGACGCACCGTATCATCATAACTCACATCTCTCTTATAATCTTCTATATTGTAAGATAATCTCGCATTTTCAATCTTTGCCAGAGATTCAAGTTCAGGCAACCTGAACTCTTCGTGAGCTATTTCATTTTATGCATGAAACATAATTGTAATAAATATCCACCCTCGCTTTTGTAAAATTGCGGCTTGTAAATAAGTCGAATTCGAAACCACGACGAAATCAGGCAGTTAAATGTGGTACCATACACTGAGCAAATTGAATTAAATATTGATTCATTTTATTTTTTTCTCGGTGTGCCACCTCAAGGGGAGGAAGAGTTTCTTTTTATTGGGTTAATGAATTTTAATTTTAAAAAAAAAAAAAAAAAAAAAAATTAAACACATCACAGGTGCGTGTAACATTCAGGCTGGAATTATGCAGATCTCCCATAAAAAAGTCGCCCACGCAAATGAAACTTCATCGCAAGAATGAAAGGGATACCGTAAATTGCACGACAAAAGAGATTTTTGTCGATGCTTTTTGATGGAACATGAGAACTGAAGACAGTTCGGGGGTTTGAGTTGATTCGATATACGCTGGTCGTAAGTTTTCGCATCTCGCGAAAATCTCTCTCGTTGATATTACAGAGGATTCTTCCTTCCTTTTACCATACCAGGGTTCTTTATCAACACAGGTCATAAAAGATTGTGGTGAGTCGACGTTAAAGAAAAGTATGAATTGATTTTTCAACGTTCCTGAGAGAAACACGTTTGCGCCACAGTTTTTCTCGTACAATGAAACGGTGTGTAAGTCGAAAATTTTCATTCACACACATTATCACCCGCAGATGACCCTTTCAACAAGGAAGTGATATATTTCCAGGAGAACTTCGGATGTCTTTGTGCAACAGATTGCTTATGAATTCTGGTTCTGCAATGGTCTGTGAATGCTGGACGGAATATCGATTTTATCGATCTGTAAAAAGTCACTCAAAAGTATATATAATGGGATGAGACTATTATTAAAACTTCTTCACAACTGTTGGATACTAAACCATCTTTCAATTTAAATAATGTTATCCGTGTTACACGTGCTCCCGCACCTGACTTTTCAAAGAGTCGTTTTCTCAAATATTTAATGGATGCTAATCGCTTGTACGCACGATTCTCTGCTTTTTTTTCTAGCTCGTCCGATTAAAAAAGAAATAAATAAAATCTTTTGTGCAAGTAGTTTTTGAGCGTGAACTCCAAACTTTGAAATTTGCAAAATTTCTTCGAGTCATGTGATAACCTATAGTGTCAATAAAACAACTAAGAAATAGGTTAAAACAAGGAAGCGACGTCAAAGAATGTGGCCAAAAAAAAAGGGAAGATTGGCAATAAAATTTTTTCTAGCCAATCATAGTTTGCGCATGCGACGGTCATGCGACCCAACACGGAAATATGGTGCATTGGTCTGATGCCTAATTTCAAAAAAAAAAATCGCATTTACACCTAAAACACCCTGTTGAGGTCCGAGGAATCTATAATTGAAGAAATTTCCGAGTAAACTTCTTGAAACCAAGAGTCCAAGAGTACCATCTGAAACAAAGTTCGCGCTTCCTTATAAAACGACCGAGAGCGTTAGAAATGAGTAGTAAAGATTGGTATTTCGCCGACGTCGACTCGGACAATTATGACGAGGATTCGGACGAAGATTTTATTCTTCGTGAAGGAGACGTTCCCCCCGATACTAGCGATACATCAGAAGAAGAATCTGATGGTAATTAACAACTTTTTATTATCTAAACAAAAAATAAAAATAAAAATAGAAATAAATTCTCCAATATAGTTCACAATTTCTGTTATGATGATTGATAGACAACTACGAGACGGATGATGATTTCGAAGATGATAATAATTTCGATGGACTCGCTTCTTCTGAATATGATAACAATCAAAATGATAGTCGAGGGGATAAAAAAAAAGGAAAGCAAGTTAGTAGAAAAACTGGAGGTCGTAAAAGATCAAACGGGATCAATAATGGCGAGAATGATACAAATGAGCCTGGATCTCATGTGTCCGTGAATGATATCGACAGCTCTAACTGCGCGGAGAGTTCTTTCGATGTTTCTTTTCTAAATGACATGAATAGTTCTTTCTCCAATGGAACTGATGAAATTCGGGGAGAATTGAACGGAGGTCATCCGAGCACCAATGAGACCGTCAACAGTTCCTTTCCAAATAGTATGAATGACAATGTCAATGGTATTGGTTCCAATGGTTTCAATGACACAAATGGCGTAAATGATACAAACAAGGTGCACGAGCAGGGATCGCCAAGAGATAAATCGCACGGACGAAGTCGACGAACGTCACCTTCGTTAGATAATTCACAGGCATGCTTTGCGATACGCATATCTAATAATAAGAGATGACGTTTTATAACGGTCTCATGATCTAATATATATCTATGCGTTCTCCCGATAGCCATATTCATGTCGACACAATCCATGTCCAAATCCACACCAGTGCATGGACCGATTTAATTATCCCAGTCATCAGTTTTACCCACCGTATTTTCCACCAAGTATGTGAAAATGGCGTGATTTATTGCCCATTCTGTCATTGCCCTCAATATAACCTTCAACCATCACAGATCACAAACTGCAAAAACTCGATGTCCCGTTTCCGATTTTTTCGGAACAGTTCAAAGAATTTCACGAGGGTAAATTAAAAGTTCGTTTATTCTCCTTATCATCAAATTTGAAGGGCATACTAATTGGCATAATGGGGGGGTTTTTTTTCGATAAAAGAACAAGAATCTGAATTGAAACAACTAGAAATCACAGAACGTAACCTTAATGAAAAGAAAGTAATGGAAACTACACATGCCGCTGAGGCAAAAGTACTTTCGGAGAGGAAAAAATCAGAATTAAAGACAATTACGGACCGTAATAAGGAGTTGAGAGATCAGGTAGAAGAAATTCATAGGACATTATTACCAATATTAAATGACATTATGCTAGATGACAATCAGGTGGGTGTAACCGAACAGCTAAATCCTCTCACAATTGGGCCATTTTTATTGGAATTGGCAAAAAGATTGTCAGAAACAGAATCACAATCTTCGCAATCTTAGCCCGAAGAAAAAAATTTTTTTTCTTTTTTTTTTTCTTTTTTTTTTTCTTTTTTTTTTTTTATATTATATATATATATATATATATATATATACAGTATATACATACTTATAGAACGCACCGTTTTGTCAGGTACAATAACAGTTTTGATTACCCAAACATCAGGGTAGAGAAGAAATTAAGAATTACAATTGTATATGATTAAAATATAAATCTCATATATAATTTTGTAAATATAGGTCAATAATAATAAATCATTTCGTGATAATGAGTTTGGTTTCTGCAAAATTCACTACGAGTAAAAGAATTGGTAACAAGCTTTGAAAATAGTTTCGCTAGTCGCTATAATATTATTATCCTTAATTTCTCCAGCCTCATTCATATGTATCTCTAATCCGTCATTGCTTGATTATTAGGACAAGTTCATAATAAATTTCATGTGTACAATAGAAAAAGACACCTGTTTAGTCTACCAAACCAATTTATAGTGCATTTTATGAATATACAGTATATACTGTATATGTAGTATTTTTAATCGCTTTCATTATTTATAATGTCGGCAGTTTTTTTTTTTAAAGGCATCACTTTACAGCCATTTCCTATACCCTTGTTCAAAATGTGAGCCGTTTTTATAATGATATTCGTAAATACTGAAATTTCGCCATTTAAAGTATTTGGCGAATTGTCTTTAATTACGATCACATTGCAAAAATTCTACTTTAAAATTATAATTAAGCATAATTTTAGCAAGCACATGAAGTAAATCTAATCAAGTTCTCAATTAGATTATTTGAACAAACAATAAATTCATTCAAAATTTGCTATGCAATGTTCTTTTCATGGCCTTACAATGTACTGTAAATTGCAACCCAACTTGAAATTATTATTAAAAATAATTGTTATTTAAAAATCATAGAATATATATATATATTAAAGAGATAATATTATTTTTGATTTTTAGCACGTAATCCGTAGTTAGATGTTTATTAATCAATCAAATACATAAATATATATTTATTCAATCAGTATAATATATGTTACAATTAAACTTTTATTTTAATATAATTAACTTATCTGTTAACTTTAATTATTTTATCAAGTTTTTTTAATTCACCCTTTTATAATTTCTTATACTGCATTCTAGTGATCTGATAGAATATATAATAATGATAATCTACTAACAATGATATATAGATTAAGAGAATCTTTATTCAAAATCTACTACAAAATAAAATATCAAACTTAGAAAAAATTATTACTTATGATAAATTGATTAAAATTAATTAGCTATAATATATATTATATTACTTGAATAAAAATATACTTATATATTTATTTGATTAATAAACTAATCATTTAATCTAGTTGTATATATTATTAAAAAAAAAAAAAAATCATGACTATTATTTTATCAAGTTATTAAATGATAAAAAATTATATAAAAACAAATTTTTTTAAAAAAGATATTTAAAAATATATAATAATAATATAAAAAAATATTTATTTTTTTTTTAAAAATCTATAATTTTAAAACTTTTTTTTTCAAAAAAGTTATTTTATTGAGATTTTTTTTTTTTTAATTATTTAAAAAACTTGTTTATTTTTTATTTTTATATATTATTTAAAATACTTATTATTTTTTAAAAATTCTTTATTTTTAAAAATATATCTTATTTTGATTTATTCTTAATAATGATTTTTATCTATAAATAATAAATTAATAATTTATAATAAATTTCAAGTTTTTATATAACTTAATAAAAATTAAATTATATAAGACTAATATAATATTTTCTAATAACTATATTTAACTAAAAAAATTTCTATTGATATATTATATATTTTCTATTATTCATTTTTCAATAATATTTTTATTTTATACTATTTTTTTTTTTTTACTAACCTGCAATTATACTATATCTTTATTGAAAAATTAAAATAAAAATTATAATAATTTATAAATTTTTATAAAACAATTAATTTATATTTATATATAAATACTTTAAGTCAGATTTTGAAAACAATATTATATTGCTCTAATAGATTAATTATAACTTCTATCTATTAAAATCACTATTAATAGTTTATCATTGCTAATTAATCTAAAAATCAATAAATTGCTAAGTTAGAAGAAAAGAAGAAAAATAATTGAAAGAAGAAAACAATTTAAGGCCTATTAAAAATTTTTAAAAATAAAAACATATTCTTTTCAAAAAAAATTCATCTAATTGGAATAGTTTTTTTACTTCACTTGAATCACAGAAAAAATTTTCTTTATCTATATAACATCAAATAAGTTAATTTAATTAATTCTTCATTTAAATAAATACTAGGTTGAAATATCTCAAAAAATATTTAAATATTAATTTTTTTTTATTAAAGTTCTATTACTATTTTAGAAACCCAAATAAGAGATAGAAGTTTATAATTTATATTATTCATTACTTGACTTTTTAATATTATACATATTTTTATTAAAAAACTTCTATAATTTTTATTTACTTTAGAATAATGTTACATACAATATATAATAATTTATATATAGTAAATATATTATTTATTACTATATATACTATATATTAACTAGTCTATTAAGGAAAACCATATGATATTCACTTAATTTTTTCTAGAACAATTTTATAAAATAATTTAATTATTGATTATTGCATTTACTTTAACCTATCCTTATATTTGAGATTTTAATATGATTTATAAATTTCTTCTTTTATCAATATCTTTCAATAATAAACCTTACTTTATCTATTTTAATTATATTTTTATATATTTTATTGATACAATATTTCTCTCTTTGAAATTTCTAATTTTCTTAGCTTGTAACAATTTCTTGTAATTGATAATAATATTAAAATATCTAATATTTAATTCATTCTTTATTCTGGTTAACTATAAAATCAATTTTATTCTTTTTCACCTTATTAAAATATTGATTATATATTGATTGTCTTATAATATCTATATATTAGTCTAATCTGATAAAGATTAACTGTATTTGATGTCATATAGTAATAAATTCTTTTATTTCAATTATTTAGTAAAATAATCAGAACTATACCTAATAATATTTTACTGTTATTTAATAAAGTATGGAAATTCATTGTAATATGATATTTTTTACTTAACTCTTATGATATTAAACTTTAGACCTTGTAATTGTGACTTGGAAACATTATTACTATGTTATATATCCATAAATATTTTATTTTATAATATTATAATAACTTTAAATTTGTATAAATAAAATATAAATTATATTTGTTATTGATTCTCTAATTATAAACAAAAAAGATATTTGCAAGAAGTTTTATATTTTTAAGTTAATAAAGACTAACTACTTTTCTTAAATTAAATTGAGAATAATATTTTTAGAAACTTCTTATAATCTTAAATATCTCTTTTTATATCTTATTATGAAAAAACTAGGCTTCTAGCAATTATAAAAGCAAAATGACTCTTTTATTAATGGCAAAAAAGTTCTAAAAGGAAGTAAACCTAACTCTTCCACCTTCTCTTTACCTATCAAAAAAATATTATAGAGTTGTTTGAATGATAAAAGACTTTTTTGAAAAAAACCTTTTTACTTTTTTGTTACTTATTAGGTTTTAATAGTACTTTTTATAATTTTCTTTGAGAAATTTTATCTATTTTATTTGATCATTAATTTTGAATAGTACAAAGTTTTTTGTACAATGATTTGTCGATGAAAATACATTAGTAATCAAGATATAAACAAGCTTTTATTAATCATTCTATATATCTAAATATATTTTTTCAATTCCATAAAAATTTGAAATTTATTATGAATCATATATCTATAGTACAAATGAATATACAGTAAAATATACAACTTATAATATTATTGACTATATAAAATTTTTTTTTTTTTTTTTTTTAACCCACAATCATGCCGCAATGGCGTGTCTTTATTAAGATATTGAGAAATATCTAAATAATTTACAGACTTTCACATAGTGACTAACTTGTCGTTATACATTATTAGTTAAAGGACTACACTACTTAAAAAATATGAGGAGTCCACTAAGCTAATTTGAACTAAACAAAA